CTGGGGCAGCTTGAGGCCGGTTCCTCTTGTCCCATCCCTTGTTCCTTGGGAGCAGAGACCAGCCCCCTCCTGGCTCCATCCTCCTGTCAGGCAGTTGTAGGGAGCGATCAGGTCCCCCCTGAGCCTTCTCTTCTCCACACTAAAACCCCAGGTCCCTCAGCCCTTCCCCATCACACTTGTGCTCCAGGCCCTGCTCCAGCTCCGGTGCCCTTCTCTGGCCCCACTCCAGCACCTCAATGTCTCTCTTGCAGTGAGGGGCCCAGAACTGACACAGGATTCGAGGTGCAGCCTCAGCAGTGCCCAGCGCAGGGGGACAGTCCCTGCCCTGGTCCTGCTGCCACACTGGGGCTGGGACAGGCCAGGATGCTGGTGGCCTCTTGGCTGCCTGGGCAGACATGGATCTGGGTCTGCCTGGAGTTGGGAAAGAGGGATGGCCCAATCCCAGCTTTCTCATCATATTCCCAGTCTACATCACCTTTTTGGCTATTACCCCAGGAACAGAGTCTCCAACTTTCTCTCTTCCTTGGTGGTTGTAGAGGAAACACAAAAACCAAACAGGAGTGAACATGCAGGTTAAAAACTTCGGCTAACCCAGCATAATGGGCTTTAGCCCATTTTGGGTAGCTGGGAGGGATGGGGTGGAATGGCAACAGTCCCGGATTTCACTGGGCTCCTCACCTGGCTGCAGTTGCCCATCAGCCAGCACAGTTTGGCTCCTGGAGCGCATCTGCATTCCCAGGACTGTGCAGCCCAACACTCACCTCTCACTAACAACCTCTCCTCATCCACAGCCTATTTCCAGCGGAAAATAACAGAGTACCAGGAACAGAAGAAGCACCGAAGGGAGTCCTGAAGCCCAGCCTGGAGCAGGTCGCTGCCAGCAGCACCACGCAGCAGGGACTCTGCCCCATCCAAGGATAGAGCAGCTCTGCTGGATCTGTCCCCCACTTCCCACCCGTCTGGGACTCATGAGGTGTGTGGGCAGCACCAAACACCAGTTTCCACCTTTTCTCTTTTTCCTCAGGGCATCATTGCACTGGAAAACTGTGTTTGCACAGAGGTAGCAAAAGGAGGCTGTGATCACTGCTCTGCTCTCCCCAGCACCAGGGCCAAAGTGCAGCTCCCAGTGCCCAGCCCTGTGCAGAGACTTGGACCCCCCAGGACCTCAGGCAGCACTGAGGGAAGTCGGGAGCTGGCTGCAGGACAACAAAGGCTGTAGAGTAGTTGTTAGAGAAGAAGAAAAGGATGAGTAGAAATAGTGTTATTTCTCATGCAAACAAACCTAGGGTTTGCACATCAGTAACATCCTATGGGATAAGCTTCCGAGGTTTCTATTATTAACAACTGTTCCACTGGATTTTCTAGCAAGATACATTCATTGTTAAATAGCAGCAGGAA